TGTTATCCTGCAGACTCTCTCTCCACAGTTTCTGATGCTGCTTTGCCAACGCATACTTAACGAGCCGTTTTACATCTTTAGATACTTTTACCACTTAAAACATGTTTAAATTAATGCAGTTCTTCAGTTGCTACAATGGTGAACAATACATAAATGAGGAATCTGATGTTTAATAAGATTCTTTTAAATCATTATCTAAGAAACAAAAACCAGTGATCACCTCTGATGTCACTTTAATTTAAAAACAAATATATGAAGGAGACAAATGGGAAAAAATGTGTATAAAGACCAATTTTTTAAATATTCTGATGCATCTTCCACTTTTTGTATCTCGAACAAAAAACTTTATGCTCAAACTGTTAAAATTACTGTAAATTCTGTCTTAATCCGCTTCAACTTCACTTTGATCAAAATCCTGATTAGTGTGTAAATTTGTCAGCACACATCTGTGTTATTTACTTTTGTGCAGCATTTCAAAATAAAAGCATATTTTTAAAAATACATCAAACTTATATAGCGCTTTTTAGAATACTCAAAAGACGCTTTCCAAGAGGTGGAAAARGGGCTTCAAAGGCTTTGTTTTGTGTTAAAGTTTATGAGGAAGTTGAAGGATTTTCAGTCATTTGGAGACTTTAAGAACTAACAGCAGARGTCATTTCTGTGAGACAATCTTCAAATATGAAACAGGTGAAATGTCTTGGAAATTTACACATTTTTCTGAGCTTCCAGCAGTTCTCTGCACAGTGTTCTTTAAAAAAAGGTCAAATATATTTTAAAATGAACTGTTTTCTACAWTCTGAGCAACTTTCATCAGCAYCCATCAAATTTTACGTTTCAATTTGCCTCTTTTATTCCATTAACATTAAAAATCTTTCACATTTCGTGGCCAATTTTAATTAAGTTAATATTATTCTGTTGATTTCAATACAATTTTGGAGCTAAACTGTCTTTGGGAATTAAGGTGTTTCTTTAAAATYATGAAAATAAAGCTTTGAGGAATGTTAATATAATTTCCTTTTTGTTCAATTTCAGTTTTTTTAAACTTAGTAGACCAGGGGTGCGCAAACATTTTCCCTGAGAGGGCCAAAATTAAAAAACATTTTCCCTGAGAGGGCCAAAATTAAAAAAAACATTTTCCCTGAGAGGGTCAAAATTAAAAAACATTTTCCCTGAGAGGGCCAAAATTAAAAACCATTTTCCCTGAGAGGGCCAAAATTAAAATCAATCTGAGGGCCGTGGGCCAAATGTAACAATATAAGAAATGCAAATCTTAAGTAAAGTTGTTTTATTTCTTATGATTAAGCTAGCAGCCAGTGTGGTTGCCCACATCTTTTTTTCCTTTCAGCCCATGGACATGGAGAAAATTCAACTTATGCTCAAGCAGCAAAGGCTCATGGGACTTTTCGTAATTTTAAATTTGAATATATGGGATATTATAAGGTGTGCAAAGACATGGACTTAAATCTAATCTAAATGTCCTTTGTAGTTACTTGTATTTTATATTTAATCTTAACATAAATACAATCTAGTAAGCAGGACAACTGCTGGCGGGCCAAATCAAATGGCTTGGCGGGCCAATTTTGGCCCGCGGGCCCCACCTTGGGCACCTCTGTACTAGACAAAAAAGGACAAAAATGTTGTTTTCCCTTATTTAAAAACCGYAAAACAAAAACTCCCACCTCTAAAAGGGAAAAAAAGCCATTATCTAATTTTCTTGGTGACATTAAGCCAAGAGCCAATGAGCTGCTGCTTCGTTTACCAGCTGCAAGAGCATCTAATTAGAGACAACTAGCTTCAGGTGTGACRGTGGTGAGGCTTTTTTCTGCCAAATTACAGCAACAACATGAAGACTAGTCATTAACTAAGAAGTTACAGATCCCATCATCATCCCTCATTAGTCACATTCAGCTGACTTAAGTTACAGCAGAGAAAAAAAACATAAAATATTGCTCTTATCCTCCAAGAAAAATAACTCATTTAATGCTGATTTTTAATGACAACCAATAAATAACAGCTTCACTCTTTAAACTTACAAACTCCGTTTTTAGTCACAAGTTTCCACAAAAACACAGGTGAGAATAAAAAAGGTGCAATTTGTTCAACAACTACCTGAACTGGTCGCTCCAGTGCCTGATTCAAGCTGAAGCAGGCAGCAGATAGAGACGTCTTCTTCTGCTCTAGAAGCTCAGGTTTGCGCCTCACTGACGGAGTGCTGCCGCCACCTGCTGGTCACACCGCGCTACTGCACTAGGATTCATTTAGATAAGGAGGGCTTTCACATGGAAATACCTGATAAAATCTAATCTGATTTCAGTCTAATACACCTTACAGGGGGAAAAATATCTTTTTTCCAATAAATCTCATATTTTCACTTACAAATGCTTTGTGCATTATAAGAAGTGAATACAGGAATCAAAATTTTAAAAAAAAATCTCACGGACCAATATTCAGATTTTAATGAAACTTTCAAAGAATTCATTAAACATGAGCAGAGGTTTGTTAGCAAAATATCCCATCAACCACTGCAAGGGCTACCCCAATTCAAGATGGCTGCCACATCCTTGTTTTATTATTTTGTGTTCATTATGACATTTGTCAAATTTTTCACTGCCTCTTCTCATAATGTGTCAACTTATAATGCAGAATGTATGTACTTGAGTGAGACAGAAGAATGTAAATGTGAAAAGAGTCACTGTTGTCGAAAATAAATAAAAACTAAGTTTAAAAAAAGATGGCTGCCACAGCTAATTGTACTGGACAGGTGAGTTTACACATTTGGCTCAGATTCTAGCAATCAAAAGGTCTCATACTGAATATGTAGGATTAACTAAAAAGTGAGCTATCATTTATTATAAACTCTTCTACTGTCCGAGTAACTTTCATGACAATCTGATGATCTGAGTGAAAGTGGTTTTGAAGCCCTGGAATCGAGTCATTATTTATCTGTAATTTCCTTATTTTTAAACAAATTTAAACTAAATTTGTATTATTTTCTTTGTCTTATGTAGCCGCTTCCAAAAAAAATGTTTTAATACAAGTTAGGAACTTGGATTATCATTATTTTTTGATAGCATACCTACTAATGAACCTTAGAAACCGCAAAAAAAAATTTGCTATGACACATAATTTTACACATATTTTAAATATGACATCATCCCCAAAAACATGCCTGAAGCACAACAGACTGTGCAACACCTGTTATTTAACATATTTGCGTTAATTAATTCAACTGTTGCACAGACTAACATGGAAACTCAAATCAAGATGGCCACCACCGCTTTTTTTCCCCCGATCTTTTAGTCCTTCAGCATCCACACCCTRTAAAGCCTACAACTGTCTTATTATGACTTCAGAGGAGCCTGAAGAGGACACACTGAGACACTCCGGCTGTAACAATACACTGTTTCTAAACAAACGAGGCAAACTGTGACACAGATACTGTTTCTCAAGGCCTGAGCTGAGCAGGGTGGGAGCTAAAAATGAGCCTTCCTTTAGTTGTTGAACATGATTTTTTTTTTCTGTTTTTGTCCAAATATTGAATCACAGCTGTTATATTTAATGTAGCTCTGTTTAGGTTAATTAAAGTAATGCATTTATTGTAATTCTGTTGGTTTCTTTGAAAGGTTTTGCCCAAACAAAATGTAACAAAAAGTACAAAAAAAAAACATTGAAATGCAGCAGAAGTTACATTTAATGTAAAAAGAAAGTGTTTTGCATTTGTGACTGGTTTAATGATTAAAAAATCTACTCAAATGTACAAGAAAAAAAAGCTTTAAATGACAACTGTTTCTTGACTCACTGCTCCTCGTCCGTTTGCGACACAGAACCGTTATTTGTTTGAACTTCGGAGCATCAGACTCTGCGTCAAACGCTCAGCGTCACTCTCAGAGGTGAACGTGACGAGAGGGAAAAGAAAAAGGTCATCAGCTCACGTCTCACATCAGCTCAAATCCTGGTGGTTTCTGTTGTAAATAAACATAAAACCTTATAAAAGAATCTTTATTTAGAAGAAATAAATTGTTAAAGCAGATTTTCCTTCAGGCGAAAAGGAGCCCTTTGGACAAAAAAAAAAAACAGCAGTTCCTCCAACAGGCTTCTAAAGGCCCCGAGTACGACACAGGAATGTGACCTTTGACCTCAGCTGAGTCCAACAAACACGAGGCAGACAGACGTTCTTGTTCCAGATTTGAACAGCTTTTCATTCCAA